GGAGCTTTAATTGAAACCGGTATTATATTATAAATACATGACCCAGAGTGCCCAATTTTAATCTATAAATACAATTATCTTCATAACTGCTTGTCATTCGAACAATCGTTTCAAATATCATTTGTTCTGTAATTTCGTGCAGTTAGTTTGTTTCTAAAGCTTCAAAACTTTTTAAAATAGATTATTTTTTAAAATGGAATCACTAATATTACTAGTAATACTAGTTTAATTTTACTAGTAATACTAGTTTAATTTTAATTTTGTAAAATATATATATGAAGGATAAAAACACTATGCATGCAAGAGTGCCCTCCTCTTCTTTCATATGATACTGTATAAAATATATATGATATATGAGAATATATATATATATATATATGATATATATTCTCATATATCATCATATATCTCATATATCATTCTGATATATATTCTCATATATCATATATATGATATATCTCATATATATGATATATGAGAATATATTTTTTATATATGAGAAATATATAAAAAATATATGATATATGAGACTGTATAAAATTTAAATTTAAAATGTCTATTAAATTAACTGTTTGCTCGAAACAGGACAAGCAGTTACGAAGATAATTGCTGTATATACACACATCGCGCTTAATTCATCTGTAATTAATGCTAGAAGTTTTGCCAGATCATCGTCTTCGAATCGCATATTCAAAGAATACAAAGTTCAGAGAAACTGATCGACGGCTAAAACGAGAAGGATAAGAGAGAAGAGAAAAAAGTCAGTGTTCAACGTGACTTAAAAAAACGTGTTATATTTATATGCAAAAAAAAAAAAGAGAAGAAAATAAATATTCACAGTATTTCGTACAGATCCATTCGATACTTTACATGTTGCACAGCATATCGTACTCGGCGCTGTTACGCTAGGCTACATATATATTTGTATATTTGTTAAAAAAAAAAAATAACGCATAATCTACGAGATATAAAACTTATAATATCATAGAAGACGAGAGAGATCCGCGAGACGACGGGCCCCGCGTTCAATGTACATATGACATACAATTTGCGCGGAAACGTTCGTCGCGCTCTGTCATCACGCGCCTTGTTCACAACGAACGAGTGGTGAGTCACTTGTCGCGAGAAACCTCTGACCTTAGGAACCCGGACCTTGCGCAATCCGGACGCGTTTGAACATCCGCTTGATGATTTCTCGTAATCACATAGCGATTCAACACTTTCGTTACATACTAACAACGCAGCAACGGGCCCTACCGCTGCTGCAACAAATGTCAAAGGTCACTTTCGCGTCAAACACGAACGACTCGTTTGCCCCGTGTTAATCGAGAGGGGGAACAAGCGATGTAATTTCCTCGATTATCGGGAACTTGAACTCTACACGGACGAGTGTTTCACATCGTCAAGGATTCCGCGATTCCGCTCCTGACTTCGTGTATAATGAGTATTAGACACGCGTATTGTACGTATAACGTACGTATGTATATATATATATATATATATATAATAAACTATTTCGTTCGCAAATAACTCGACGTTTTGGCCAAGTTCCGCGTACTCGAAACGTTTCCTTCCTTCCTAGGAGGAGTGCTCCGCGCACGATACTCGCAGGCCTGTAAGTGGGAAACGAAGCTGGTCGACTTCGTCGAGTCTCGTCGTCGAGAAACGAATCAGCGAGGCGAGAACGAAGAAAATCGAGTCAATCGGTTAGATGCTGTTTTCCCGTGGTTCGCATCGCCGAACGAACGCCGCCTGTCAGCCCGCAATCTCTGCTACTCTACCGAGACTCGTTCGACAAGCGTGGAAAGATCGATCGAATTTTAGTTCTCGACATACTCGAGACACGCGCGAACGCATCGTTCCTCGGAATCACTTCTAACGTAACTACTCTGCCTAACGATAAGATACGATCGCGATACCTATATATACCTACTATATATTTCGTAACGTGGCTCGACGAAGACTCTCACGTTCGTGCCTACTACGTTACTTTGTACTAGCGTCTACCCTGTAAAATTGCGCGCTTGCTCGGCTTGAATTCAATTCAAGTAGGTGAAAGTAGCTGCACGAGGATTGTACAGGACGATCAATGGGAAATATACTATACTGAATGATGTTCGATGTTTTCATGATCATCGTCTGACTATATGTAATACTAGCATAGAATCGTTAAATTGAAGTGCAACTACGAAAGGGCAATTCGCTAACCACCGAGGAGAATTCCCTGTTTCTCAGAGTCTCGTACCCTTGCTGACCTCGTTGGTTACGTCGAGCGAGACGTTCTTCAGAGCGTTGAGCTTTTCCACGTAACCGATGTCGATGCGAAGCTTCCCATTATCATCGACGATCCCTTGGAGAGTCTTTTCCGTGCCGTTCGCGATCGAGGTCACCGACGATGAGGCGGTCGCGTTCGCCGCGTTCTGCTCGTTCTGCAACCGCGTGCTGCTCGCGTACAATCTCCGTCTTCCCGGCAACAGCCTCGAGAACTTCACCGCCAGCGGATGAAGCAAGTGCTCCTCGTACATGTCGCACTGCGGATCGGCCGTCAACAGGCTGACGATTATACCGACCAGCACCGTCGACACGCTCCCTATGAACGCGTAGTACATATACGTGACGCTGTATAAATACTCGAGAGAGCCTAGGACTGGCGTTTCCTCGACGGCGTTCGCCAGTAGATTGTTTTGGTTCGTCCCGGTGACGTTGAGGGCAGCGACCATCGAGCGACCTGGCTGCATGATCCAAGGGGAGAACGTGTCGTTCTGGCAGTTCTCCGTCGACAGAGGCAACGTCTCCACGTTCTGCATGTTGCTGACGGTCAAGTGACCGAAGGTTATCCACAGGGTGGTCACGTGGCTGAAGATCATCCCAGCGGCGGCGCCTTTCCAGTTGGCGCAAGGCACCAACATGGCCAGCAGAAAGACACCGAGCAGCGGGCCTGATGTGGCCGAGGTCATCAGCATCGACGACTCGATCACTCCCGAGAGCATGGCCACGAGGAAGCTGATGCCTATTATCAGCACGCCGTAGATAACGCTGATCACCTTGATAAAGTGCAGCTGCTGCTTATCCTTCAAGCCTCGGAGCGCGGGTATCTGACCGAGGAAGTCCTCGAACGTGACCGTGGCCAGGGAGTTGATGTTCGACACTGCCAAGGTGAGCGCGCTGTTGAACAGAGTGGCCATCACCAGGCCCAACAGGCCGGGAAAGTTGAGGAACTTGTCCTCCACGTAGAACGGCACGATCTCGTCGAATTTCGAGATGTAGCCCAGCGTGAGGGGGTCGCAGTCCGCGTAGTTGGCGAAGATCACCATGCCAACCACCCACGACAGGGAGAACAGGATGAAGATTATCGGCATGTTGGCCAACATGGTTCTGAAAGAAGAGATAGTTTTTCTATTAGAAGATACGAGAATACGCTTTCTTGTAACTTGAGGTACATAACGTTGCAACCAATAATAGGGTCACAGTGGTAAAGAGATCCTGTTGGAATGAATTTATTCATAACTCGTTGTTACTTCGATCGCAACTCCCTGCGACTGTGGAGCAAAACCGATCCGGGGTGGATCTTAACGGTAAAGAACGTACGTGGTACGTTCTCAGATACGCATAAAAGCTCGACTTGCTACCGTTGACCTTAGCTGGGGCAGGAGTATCTGCTGCCAAGTTTGGCCGGCTGCCATTTAACCCCGGTCTGGATGCCAGCCGAAGGACTCATTGATTATGTGGTAACGGGAAGTGCGGACAGAATCTCGCGAATCAGAAAACGCTGGGGGTTTGAGGCGAGTTGCATGAAAGTCTGCCCGTCGCGGGGATCTCGGGGATTCTTCGGACGTTCGTAAATTTAAAGATAGTTTATCCCGTTGGGTTCGAAGCTCTCTTTCTCGCGACAGGTATACAGAGAACGAAGAACGAAACGAGTGGAATAAAATAAGCCGTTCACTTGCCAACTCCACTTTTTCTTAACTTTTTCTTGTTCGAAATAAATTTCCTTAATAATTAGATTATTTAATACCATTGTATAACCATGTTTCTGCTTTTCGCTTGCGAATGATAAATATTTCGTTTCGAAAGCCAATTTGATTAACTCTATACTCCAATGCAAGTCGTTGCAATAACGTAATTTTTAACTTTTGTAAGAATTTAAGTGTTAATCTTCGAATACATGATATGAAAATTTGAAAATCCAAAATATTTTTTCAAATGATTGGCACAGTATCATCGAAATCAGTAAAAAGAAGAACCAGAACTTTCTCTCAACAAAGATATTAGAAAATTTTATCAATTATAGAAAAGTAACAGTCACGGGATTAATAAATTGGCTTGAAATGCATTAG